TTATTATTATTATTATTATTATTATTATTATTATTATTATTATTATTTGTACTTAGAGATGATGCCTACCCCTGTGGTTGAAAGTAGAACGCTTCTCCAGGAGTGTAAGTCTATATACATATATCTATATACACACACATATATACACACACACACACACACACACACACACACCACACACATATACATACATACATACATACATACATACATACATACATACCCTGTTTCTCCAACAATACGGCCTCCCCCAATAGGAAGTCCCAGCATGTTTTATAGGCATAAAATGAAATTAAGCCCCTCCCCCCAAATTAAGGCCTATATTGAAATATGCGAAATGGGGGGGGAATGGTGGGGCGGCTTGCCGTTAGGAAGTACTTTTGTTGCACACCCGGATATGGTGCTGCCTGCGTTGACCCCGATACGAAGTGCCCCACCAATGTAAAACTGTGAATATGGGAAACAGTATCTAAGGGTCCCCAACAAGGGAAACCCCCAAGCGCTCCAAGCAAGAAATATTCTGGATCCCTGGTCCCCAACAAGGGAAACCAGCTTTACAGGGCCTGGATGGATCCTTTCCTGTCAAAAACGTCCCACTGTTTGAAATGGCACTTGCGGCTTCACTCCAATGTAATGATCCAAAAGCAATTGCAGAAAGAAAAAAAATCCTGTTTAAGGACTAGCCTGCTTATCCAACGCCAGCAAGATAAAAGAGAAATAATGCCAGGAAGTGGAATGGGAAGGTACTTGCCCCGGTCCCCAAGAAGGGAAACCAGCGGGGAATGGCGCCTGTGATATTTAGGCGCGAACTTGAAGCCAGCTGTTGAAAATGGCGGGAAGGCAGAATCTCCTATGTTAATTGCCTGAGCAGTTTAATGAGCCGCTGCTGCTGACTCTCTAAATTGTCAGATAAATGATCCTGTCAGTCGAAGTGGCAAGGAGAAGTGAGCCGCGGCTGCGATTGCTCCGCCAAGATCACAGAGATAAGACGATCGGGGGATTAGATAAGCTAATTGCCTGAAGCGGCCGTCTCAGGCTGCCTGCGGAGTGGCAGGCTCCGCCAGCCACAAAGAACTGCTCTCAAACTGATCTGGGGGATGACCTAATAGAGCCACAAGCCTTGAAATTGCCAAATTAATTGGGGAAAAATTTACAAGCCAAATTAACCCAAGAGCAAACCTGAATTTTGACTAGCTGAATCAGAAAACCGTTCTAGTCAGGGAGTGCTCAACCTCTTACCACGAAGGCTGAGCTAAAACTGGGGGACGCTGGGGAGGTGTCCCGTGGAGGAGGAGGAGCGTCCCGGAGTTTTAAGCCCAGCCTTTCCAGAAGAGACTGAAGCACCTCCCACTTCTGGATGCTCTGAACAGCTCATGGGAGAAATAGAAGAAGGGAGGAGGAAGAAACATTAGGTATGTTTGCTGCTTTGAGTTATTTATAAAAATAATAAAGATGGGATTTTAAAAAATCACCCTTCTTGCTGAGAATGAATTAGTCAAGGTTAGAATTGGCCAGAGAAAAAAGAGGCAAGATGTTAGAGGTTCTGGAATTATTGTAAGAGAGTAGTGATGTACTATTTCTTGCTTTTTTCATTGAATGGTTTAAAATGACTTGGGTAGTGTTAAGCTATATAAACTGAAAATGTTTCCAAGGAATAAAATTATTTGGATGGATTTCAGAATATATTCATATGTATACTTATTTAGTAAGTGTTGAAGACTTAATGATACCTAAAATAGTAGAAACCTTTAAATAAAGGTTACTGCTATTGGCAAAATACGATATATTACATTTTTTAATATTTTAATAATTTGTTGCATTTTAAGAGCTTTTATATATTTCACTAAGGAATATAGTGATGTATATTGTCTCAGTGTATCAAATTAATCAATATGGTATAGATTAATTAGCCTGAGGAGTGATGTAGATATGTATATCATTAAATAAATGTGTTTCTAAAGTAAAGTATGACTATACTAAACCTTAAAATTTACTTGTTGCAATCCGCAACAGTTTTGTTTACACAATCTAACAAAAAATAAACTCACATGTTGGCTTGGCATGATGTGTGAATCCAGATAGTGTACATTACATGGTGATATTCATCATATGTTAATACAAACTAAAACTAGTTATAGTCATTGGTCAAGGTAAACGTTATTGCCTACAGAAGCAGAAACCATTAAAGTATAAATCATGTACAACTTTCTATACTAATTTTATCAATCTGTTCCTTTTCCTTTCAAGCCATCAGGCTTCTTCCCATCTCCTAGCACTTCGTTTCTAATTAAAGTGTTCTTTCCATGGTTAATAAGCAATCACACTTTTTAAAGACAAATGACTAAGATGGAGCTAAGAAGAGTAAGACTGTCTCTAACAATATGCTTCATTTCCAATAGCAAAGGTGGAGGAGAGAGATTGGTTCTGTTATTTATATGGTGGTGTACTCAGTAATATTGTACATTATTATGTGCAGGATTGTAACAGTACAGGTAGTCCTTGACTTACAAGCACAGTTGTGCCCAAAATTTCTGTCATTAAGTGAGACATTTGTTAGGTGAGTTTTACTCCATTTTACGACTTGTTGCCACAGTTGTTAAGTGAATCACTGCAGTTGATAAGTTAGTAACCCAGTTGTTAAGTGAATCTGGTTTCCGCATTGGCTTTGCTTGTCAAAAAGTCTCAAAATGTGATCACATGACCTTAGGAACCAGTGGTCATAAATATGAACCAGTTGCCAAGCATCTGAATTTTGATCACATGATCATGGAGATTCTGCAAAGGTTGTAACTGTGAAAAACGGTCATAAGTTACAAGTCAGTGCCGTTGTAAGTTTGAACGGTCATTAAATGAACTATTGTAAGTGGAGGACTACCTGTAATGTGTTATATCCTTTATGAGCTCGGTTTTAGTGAATCTGAGCTTGAACTGAGGAAAATCTAGAAAAGTAATCCCTCTATAACAGCCTTTCTCATCTGGCATGCCCTCAGGATGTATAGGAGCTTAAATACTTATAATTCCCAGTGCTGAGGATTTTGAGAGGAGTAATCAATGTTTCAGGAGGATTACAAGATTGCAATGTTTGTTTATTAATTTAAAATATCTTTCAAATTAATTATATAGTAATCAGTAATAAAATTTAACAAAATTAAAGATGCTTGGAAATATGCTTGAACATATTCCGGTCATATTCTCTGTTCAAAACGTTAATAAGGATACCTTTCTTGAGAAGAAAGGGACATTCGCCTAAGTAGTTTTGCTAGGTTAATGAACTGTTTTTTAGAGAAATGTGTAAACTGCCATCCTGTCTTGGCAGTTGTGAGAACACTCTAGAACAGGACTGTCAAACTCCTGCCCTGCAAGATGTGTCACATGCTGGCCACGCCCAGTTTAATGAAGGGGAGAAAGTCCCAAGATGTCATATGACAACGTGAATTTGAACCCCCTGCTCTAGAATGAGCACACTATTTTGATATTGCTGTTAGTAAACGTAATAAGCAATAGTAATACTCTTCATTACTGCATCTCATGTGTAGCAAGATATTTTATCACCAGAAATGAAAAGGGAGGCATTGCTAAGAGCTGAAACAAAAACTGTTGTCTCCTCAGTCTAGCCTCAGCCCCACCTAGAATATATTGTCATGTAGCCTGGTGATTTGGCTTATTGACATGTGCTTTTTATAGACTGCTTCTGTGCAACATTATAATTTTGGCCAGCTATATATTTTGAAACTAGGTTTTTCTGTAACACTTTTGATACTCATCCTGTTTTTCTTCTGTTCTTACCATTACCAAAAATGGACTCTTAAGAAAATATATTTGTTTTAAATAGAATATATTCAGGTTTATATTTCCTGAGCATACAATTTGGTTTTGGATTATAGAGTCAAAAATATACAGAATATACAACATCATAGCTATAATCATTTGGTGCTGCTATTAGGTAGCTCATAGCTTTTTTAATGTTAATTTCATTCAGATCCTATTATTATTATCATGTATGTTCATTTCTACTGGGTTTCATATGTTTTAGCATGCCTTTTTACTTGTCGTTGTTTTTGGTACTTCCTAGGTATTACAGTGAAGAACTACAAGAAACTGAAGCATCATGGCAGATGATAGTGAATGGATGAAATTACCCATTGATCAAAAATGTGAACACAAGGTAAGACTACCTTGTTTAAGGAAGGTACTTCCTTTATTTACTGAGTGATACATTGTTTTGAGTTTAAGGAAATCATATTTTCAAAATCTTTCCATACGCTAGTTTAACTCTAATGCATTTGATCAAAATTGAAAATGTCTCCACAGGAACTACTGTTAGTCCTCGACTTACAACGGTTAGTTTAGTGACTGTTCAAAGTTACAACGGCACTGGAAAAGTGACATATGACCATTTTTCACACTACCATTGCAGCATCCCCATGGTCACATGATTTATATTCAGGTGCTTGACAACTGGTTTATATTTATGATGGTTGCAGCATCCTAGGGTCACGTGATCAGCTTTTGCGACCTTTTGAAAAGCAAAGTCAATGGGAAGCCAGATTTACTTAACAACCGTGTTACTAACTTAACAACTGCAGTGATTCACTTAACAAATGTGGCAAGAAAGCATGTAAAATGGGGCAAAAGTCACTTAACAAATTTCCCACTTAACAAGGTAAAACCTGGACTCAGTTATGGTCGTAAGTTGAGGACTACCTGCATTTGTCTTGGCTACACTGTGGCATTTATTTTTAATTTATCTATTTAGAGTAATAAAGCAATAGAAATTCTTGGGTTTTTTTTGGTTGGGAACAGACCTTCTTATAAATATGCTTTCATCTGAGGTCAGTCTAGGGTTTAAGAAAATTGCATTTCTGCCTTGTCACCCAGTAATTGTGAGTGGTGATAAGAGCAAATTTTAAATGGTGGTCTGTTTATATATTTATAGCTTTGAATGTTTATATAAAAATAAGACTCCACTGTTCAGCTCTTGCTTCAAAGCAGTTATCCTCTAAATTTTTCTGGACTCATCTTTCTGGCCTGTAAACTGATATAATTTATACCTCTTCAAAATCATTAATATATCCGGGATTTCCGGTTTGTCGGCTTTGCGAGCGGTAGGGATTCGCGAAGCTGCGCGATCCCTGCCGCGCTAGCCGCTTTTGGGGCTCCGATCCGAAAGGGTGCGGAGCAAGGCTGCCCTGCAGGGGCAGCTGAAGGTAGGGGGGATCCGGAAAAGGGTTTGGGGGTGTTGCAGACCCCCTCCCTGGCCGGCAGAACCTCCTTTTACCAAGACGGTGTAGCGGCGGTCCGTAATGGCCGCCACAAAGAAGCCGGCAGCTGGGCAAGTATGCGCTGGAGGAAGAGGAGAAAGTTTTTAAAAGTGAATGTCTTCTTGGTCGATCCAGGACTCTGAGATATATTTAATTTAATTCCTGGAAGTGATGGCTTTTTGGATGATTCTTTCCACAAGAGAAAGTAAGCGGCAATTCTGAGGTGCTGAAAGGAAAGTTTACTCTCCCTCCCGACGGAATCAACAAACGGATATTGAGAAACCTGTGTTTTTTTTTCAGGTAAAACTAGCTTTATGGGATAAGTAGGAAGGGAGAGGACAAAAAAAAATATATTTATCTGGTTGGATTTTGTTGGAGGAGATGCCTTAAGGATTTGGAGACAGAAATAAAATTTTAATAAGGCTTTAAAACACAGATTTGGATTTTCTTTTTTCCTTTGTTTGATACTACCCCTGGAAGAGAAAGTGGAAATTTTGGCTTGGCTTGGATTGATTGAGGATTGTGGACTTTGGGATTGTTTTACTTTTCTTTTGGAATATTTTGGTTGGAGTAAGAAGAAAGAGGGAAAAATGACAAGAAAAGATTTATAATGGCTTTCTCCCTTGAGGAACTGAGGGATGAATATGAGCAAACAAAAGCAGCCTGTAAAGATGGTATGGAAAAAGCTTTTCTATTTTTAGAAATGGCGCTGGTTAACTATGAACAGACAATGCGACAGATGGAACAACAGCAAGAAGAAGACGAAGACACCATCTTTAATGAATCCCAAAATTTATCTAAGGAAGAAGGAAGGAAGAAAGCGAGGAAAATGAAGGACTTAAGATTTAAAAAAAACATTTAAGAAAGAGAAAAATATGATGCAAAATAAATACAATGATAGCAAACAAGAGAAAAAGGGAATACAACAGAGAAGGGATGCCAGCAAGACAGAGGTTAGAAGAAGGGGGGGTAGGAAGATCTGGTGGGGGAAGAAAGAAAGGGGAAAGGCGGAGAAAAGCCACAAAGTTTTAAAATTGGATGGGAAAAGAGGAATCTTTTTCAGGGATAAAGGGTAAAGCATAAATTTTCTTTAAAAAGATTTTGCAAGGTACATAAGACGGTATTGTAATATTTGTATTAGAAATAGAAAATTAGAATGGCTTAAGAGTTAATAAGAAATTAAAATGTTGAAATGTTTAATAATGATTGATTTTTAAAATGTAATAAAATATTGAAGGGAAAGGCAATGAGAATGCTATAAGATTTATTATTTAGATTTATTATTTAACTACGTATTTAGGAGGATACTATGTATTTAAACATTTCCGATTTATTATTCTGTTTTTATTGTTATTAAAAGTAAAAATTAATAGATAGAATGTACCAAGCAGAATCAGATTGGATATTAGGTGTCATTTTAAATGTTAATCTAATATTTAGGGAGAGGATAGAAAGGCATCATACTCTGATTAGAGATTTCAGGAGAAATTCTTTTTTTTTTTCATTATAAGGAATGAGATAGAGGGATAATAAAGGATGGGCAAAAGATACAAATATAATGATTTAAATTAAGATGGATTGAATAAGATAGAAGTATGAAGAGTGAAATGTGTGGAGAAGTATATATAGAAGATACAGAATGGTAAACAAAATAGGTAATGATTTCTAAGATGAGCATGAATATAATTAAAGCCCATATAAAGAGAGGTACCGGGGGCCAAGTTACTTTACTAAAAGATTTTTTATATGTTTGTTTGTGTCTGTTTATGTTTTTGAGAAGTATTGGTGAAACCTTTTAGAAATACAGAAAGAGAATGATGATAATCAAGTCAGAAAGAAATAGAGGACAAGAGATGTTTTTATGCTCATTTAGAAATGGTTTAAAATAGAATTGTATTGTATAAGATAAGGTTTTATCTGACTTGTAAAATTTATAATGGAAAAAGGTTCAAATATGTAATGGTTGGTGATGATTTGTTTGTTTTTGAAATTAATAAAACTTGTTTAAAAAAAAATCATTAATATATCCAACTAAGGTTCTTTTTTTTTTGAAAAAGTTTTTTTTTATTTTAACTACAAAAACAACAAATAAAACCATCTTTCAGTTTTACAGTGTGTTGGTTGGATACATGTATTTTGTGCGCATAATAATATTGTACATTTCTTACTTGATTATATGTATAAACCATTCTAAGCAACATTTTATATCATATTCAATTATTGTATTATTATTTACATTATAATTATTATCTTTTAGAAACATATCTCATTCTTGCTAAATTATATTAATTCTCTTATTCAAGATTAATCAATTTTAGTATATTATTACTATTACCACATATTTTAGTTTCTTATTATTCTATCTAACCATTCATAAAATAAATCCCAAATCTTATAATACTCTTTTTCCTCTTGTTTTCTAATTGCCATTGTTAATCTACTCATTTCCGCATATTCTATTATTTTCCTAATTGTTTCCTCCTCCTAACCTAACCCAATTAAGGTTCTTTGAGTTCATATTTTTGCTGTTTGTTGTGGCCCAGACTTTTAACAACATAACCTCTAGTGCAAGTGTTCCTAAACTTTTTGCCATCACATCTTTCTTTAGTGTGATCTTAATGTACACACTTCCGCTAAAATTCTAAACATGAAGTGTTTAATTCTAAACACAAGTGATCAATTAAAAATTATAAAAATTATTAAAAATTATATGGTGATACTTTGGAAAAGGTGGATTTATTGTCACATTGTACAACTGAAAGGTTCCTCAGAAAACTTAGGAATTTAGAAAAAAGAATTGGAAACATCTTCCCCTCCTAATGTATACCAGGTTTGTTTGGAGTAACATTTGCCTGTTTTAGTTGCTGTAAGAAACAGCTGGATTCAGATATCATACTAAGCATTGATATAATTTAATTATCATGTTTTGTGAACTCAGTCATTGAATTTGTTAGAAATGTCAGTTGTGAAAATAAACTGTTTTCTAAAAAGTGCTGTGGTTTATATGTGAACCTGGATCTGGCTTACTTAATCAGCATGTGGGGAAGAAAAGAAAGCAGCAGACAGACTACATACTTGTTCATTGCATCACAGGGTATCTTTTATAAAACTGAAGCCACTTTCTCAAAATGTAATACTTGACTGGCATAATGATTAAAATGATAAATTTAACTGGTCCTCATGTTCTTCTCTAGGAAATTATATTTTTTGCAAGCTTCCACAAAGCCCCAAACTCTTTATTTCATTTTTTCACTCTGGTGGTATCTATGTTAGCCAAGCAACAGGTTGAAATTAAATTATTACTTCCTCCAATTCCACGTATTCATTTTAGACCAACTTTCAAACTATTACTAAAATATTATCTCTTTGTGTTGAACTTTGCTTTTATTGTACATTTTTTCCCCAACAAATTACCTTACAATGAGGCCATGGTGATAGTTTCCTCCATTTCTAAAATTAGAAGTTTAACAATGATTGGGACTGGCTCCACTGCTTCTCCCCTATTTTGTGGATGAAAAAGAAAGGTTGGATATTGTTACACGGTCCTGCTGATTGTAACAATAAAGATTTATTTTGTGAGAGGAAAAGTTGCTTGTTTTCAGTTTTATAGCATGCCATTTTAATCTTGGACAATTAGCAGAAAACAGATGGCATGAAAGTATAGGAAGGATATCAGTATGGGCTCCTATTTTAAGAGAATCCTATGACTGAATTACCCAGTTTTGCAATAAGAGATGTATGAAGTTATGTAGATGCTTACTAAAAATATATTTATATCATTTTTTTCCTGTGATTTCATATTTCTTTCATAGATAATTCCTACAAAACATTTCTTCATATCTTTACAGAAGTTTAATAATCTAAATTAAATAAATAAAAATAGTAATTCAAAATAATAGATAAAAGAAAACAAAAACAAGAAAAAAACATCAAAGGGCAGACTAGATCTTTTTCTGCTATCAGTTTTCCATGTTTCTAAATAATTGGAGAAAAATAGCAACATTAGCAGTATAAGTTATTATTTATGAATCTTAATGTTTTTATAAGTTTGCTATAATGATACTTATTTAGGACATCTCATGTGTTTTTTTAAAAAAAATATTCAAATAGGTTACAAATATCAGATGATGTTTGTTAGAAAGGAGAACTATTTAAAAATTGAGATCCTCTATTCTTCCTCCTCCTCTCTTCTCCCCTTCACTATATCTGCCCTTATCTCTGCACCTCTCTCACAGCAATTAGCAACAGAAGTCAACATATGGTGGCAGCATTTTGGAGGCATGATGATGCAGAGGTCTGAAGAGAGGGAATAAAACATATTGCTAGATTTGTAAAGAAAACCTCAGTTTGTGTTATTTTCAAGATTAACCGTATATGATAGTTCAGATGAGATAGAAATTTCCTCACTGATGTGTATGACTATATTGTACTGTAAATGCCAGTCATGACTAAGGCAGTTTCAGAATTCCTCAAACGTGTTCTTGGGACTGCAGATAGTACATCTGGTGAATGCTGCAGAATTTTAGTAGGTATTTGGATACCTATGATTTGAATAATTAGAAAACTACAATACCTCAGTATTGGTTGTTACAAATATAATTGGTGATATAAGAGAATAGCATATAATTATCTTGGGTCACACAGGGATTTTATTTATTTTCATTTTCTTCCTAGGTATGGAAAGCCAGATTAAATGGGTATGAAGAAGCACTGAAGCTGTTTGAGAAAATAGATGATGAAAAGAGCCCTGAATGGTCCAAATACCTTGGACTTATAAAGAAATTTGTGACAGACTCAAATGCAGTAGTTCAGCTAAAAGGATTAGAAGCTGCACTTGCTTATGTTGAAAATGCTCATGTAGCAGGAAAGTAAGTTATTTGTATTTGTACTTTAGAAGAATTCTTGCTCCTTCTAATGAACTTAAGATTCCAAATTAAATTTATGTATTAGCTTTGATCAGTTTCAAACATTATAGGAGTTAGAACAATGCTTTGGACAATTTCTTCAGAGCCATTAGGCTACAATTGTACAATGAAATCTATACCATAAATCTTTTTGGAACATGCCTACAGTACATCAGTCATTTAATCCTCAGTTTGGGTTTTTTGAAATGATTTTCTTTAATCAAAATCTTGACATATTCCCCACTGCATGGGTACCAAATGTTGGAGGAGATAATTTATGTTGATAACTATCTGACTCTTACAATAACTATTTGTTTCTAGAACAATTTTAGAGTAATTGAATAATCACTACACATTGTAATGGCCCTTCACATTATAAAAATATTTTTCACTTAACACAGTGCATGCATTTGAGCTGTTTGTAAAATGTAACAGTGAAGTACTTAACATGCATGGTTATGAATTAGGTCTTTTTGTGTATAATTTTTATTAAAACTTTTAAACTAGGAGATAAAAGCTAACAAACTATTAGAAAGTAAAAAAAAAATCAAAGAAAAACAAAAGGTGCAAGAAAGGAGGGAAGCTAAAGAAACATAGAAAAGAAAGGAAAAAAGTATAAAGTGGCTTTCAATATTTTCACAGCACTTATAAGTACAAATATATTTTGACCATTCTTTCTCTAAAATTACAAAATTCCCTAATTTATCCCATCTAATAATTGAAACTGGGTTACAAATTAATTTGTTTTCATTTTTACACAAAAAGTCCGTAAGAGGCTTCTAATAAAAAATAAATGTACATAATGTCTTTTCCCTAATCAAAGAAATTAATTTCTCCATGTCAGCAAAATCTCTCAACTTTAGCGATCATTCCTCCATTTAGGGTAGCGTCGAACCTTTTCAACTCTGTGCATACAGTAATCTCGCTGCTGTGATCATACATTGAGATACTTTTCCATGGCTTTTTTTAACTGTTTATCCATTAATCCTAAAAGAAAAAGCTCTGGCTTCATTTGAGTAATGTATATGAATGAAGTTGTTAATAAGTATCCTTGAATGCAAAACTCTTAGGAATATTTCATAAATGCATCAAAACCAATCTTAACCTCAGTAAATTGCAATATAACAATAGCCTGAAGAATCATGTGTTTTAATGGAAATCAAGTATTGATTGACCATATTGCAATAAGGTGGATGAGAGAGAAACAAATTGTTCATTCTGTTTTCAACTAATCGTTATTTCTTCCTTTTTTAAGAACAACAGGTGAGGTGGTATCTGGAGTTGTAAATAAAGTATTCAATCAGCCTAAAGCTAGAGCAAAGGAACTAGGCATTGATATATGCTTCATGTTTATTGAAATTGAAAAAGGGGAAGTGGTGCAAGAAGAACTGCTTAAAGGCTTGGACAATAAGAACCCCAAGGTCATAGTGGCATGCATAGAGACATTGAGGAAAGCACTAAGGTAAGATTCAATTGAACTTTTATTCAGACTTTTTAAGAATAAGGGAATTTCTTATGATTAATTAAATTCACTGTTGCATTTTCCACTTAAGTGGTCAGTGAAAAAAAGCTACATTATATAATATTTAGTATGCATGCATTGCTACATTATATAATATTTAGTATGTATGCTTTGCCCTTTACGTTCATGTGTTGGGTTCATAAAAAACTAAGTTCCTTTATGACTTACTACACTAATGAAATCAACTGCTGTTGATATTTGATGCAACTTAATGAAAGACTGAACTCTACAAAGCAAGAAATGAATGAATCTATTTAAATACTGTAATTTAGTCTGTCTTTTGCCTGACCATGTGGTAGCACATAGGCAACCTTGATTTACATTAAAACCCAACCAGCATCAGAAATTAGAGGGTTATAAAAAGTTGGTGGAAAAAATCCCCCCAAAGCAGTGGAAAAACCACTTACATAGAAAGTTAAATAATCAACTGTAGATGGCATAGAAGCCCTAGTTTTTTCTCTGCATAATATTTGTATGGATGGAGTATTCCTCAAACTATGACTGTGTCACTGAATGAATGGTATTTATGCTCAATCCCCAAAGATACTCCCACGATCACATGGTCAAAATTCAGCTGTTTGTCACGTCACCTGCACTTACCCACTTGCCTATCACACCCCTACCTCTGTCGTTTTGGCTGCTCTGCATAAGTAGCACACCTTGGTGGTAATGCTAAGCTGAAATAGAGGCCTGAGGCCTTGAACAGTCTTAGCCAGCTATGGGCCTGTACTTCAGCCCAAAGCCAAGGAGTGTCATCTCAAGCACCACGTTGCAGATAACCACTCCAGTGGTATGCCCAAGTGACCTTCATTGGCTTCTTCCAACGACTGACAAAACATGCCCAGCCTGGCCCTATGCAAGGCAGTTGCTGACTGCTCAAGGCAGGTCTCATCACTTCTGAGGTCTTCTAAATCCTCACAAGATTCCCACTGTTTTCAAAATTGTAAGTGATCTTCTCATGATGTTCTGGAAAGTCACAGAAGCTTTCTGAAGCATCATGAGAATAGTGGGCACAGCCTTTTCATGCAGTTTTAGAAGCCCTCAGAAACCATTTGAAACATTGTAAGAACAACATGTGCTATTTACAGAATGGTATCAGTGGTCTTTAGAAAAAGGCCTGGTCACAAAATGTCATCCTTTGTGATTGCATTGCTTAGTGACTGAAATGGTATATAAGTCTAATTGCTACTGCTATAACGTTTAGAACACCCAAATATTTGTCAGAGTTTATATAGTAACATTAAAGTAGCATAATATAACTAGTTCCATGTATATATTTCAGTGAATTTGGTTCAAAAATAATTGCCTTGAAGCCAATAATCAAAATGTTGCCAAAACTTTTTGAATCTCGAGAGAAAGCAGTTCGAGATGAAGCCAAACTCCTTGCAATTGAGATTTATCGATGGATTAAGGATGCTCTTAGGCCTCCATTACAGAACATAAATTCTCTTCAGGTAAGTTGGAGAAATGTTACGTTCTGATAATCTTAACAGGAGGTTGTCAGTAAACAGAAGAAAACAGATTTTGTTCTGAAATGTTTTTAATAATTGAAAGCTTTGTTTTGGAAAAGTATTCCTTTTAGTTACAATTTTAGTGGAGGAAATTTTATATCATACCCGTGAGCTCCAAGACCTGAAACGACTGGAGTTGTAACAAATCTCATATTGAGTCTTTCAAGAGGCTTGGAAAAAATGGTGATATCTTGCACTAAGTGTTAACAGGTGATCATCCACTATCAAGCTTTAAAAGTTGGGTTCTCTCCTGGAATCTGTGCTAATTATTAAGCAGCAAATGCTTATGTCAGCAAAAAGATTTTGAAGTCATATAATATACTAACGTTCTTAGTAGGCCTTCTTTCAGTAGCAGATTATTTATAATCAGTTGTATTCATGTAATCACTCACTTCCTCCAGCTTGCGTGTTATTCTAATCATAACACTTGGGTGGCTAATAACAAGCCTATAGAGAGAGAGAAAAATAGAAAAATAGTTTAAAAAGCCAATGTAGTAACAGCACATGCTCCTTAACCCAGAGCAGCATATGTTGGGTCAGTGCAGTTTTTATCATCAAAAACTATGATTTTTATATGTCTTTGAAAGCATAAAATAGTCCAAACATCAGGGGTCAAGATTGTGTTTATGCATCTTTTGGCTATTTTAATTCTTGTAGTTAAAAGAACTGGAAGAAGAATGGGTCAAACTACCATCCTCTACTCCCAAGCAGTCCAGATTTCTGCGATCCCAACAAGAAATGAAAGCAAAGTTTGAGCAACAGCAGGCAGCTGGTGGAGATGCAGATGGAGGTAATATTCATCTGGAACTTCAACCTTGAGGATGTTATTAGGAAAAAGGAAAAGTCACCAAAAAGCACTAACTGACAAAGAAGTCAGATTCATATCAGTATCTAGACAGTATCATTAATTGCAAAGAAGTCCTTATTCTGGGAATTTTGATCATATGATTAGTAAAACGTAGTATTGTAGTGTAACAGGCCTGAATTTGGCTGTGTATAATAGCTGTTTCCATAGGAGGCGATGATGGTGATGAGGATGTTCCACAAGTTGATGCTTATGAACTTTTGGAAGCTGTTGAAATTCTCTCCAAACTTCCTAAGGATTTCTATGACAAAATAGTAAGTGGAGATAAAACAATATGTTAATCTTAATCTCTACAACTTCCCTTTGCATTAATACTGTGTGCATTAAAATAGCTACCAAATAATTTCTTTTTTCTGCTACTGAATTTATATATTGTCATGTCTTAAGAGCTATTAATTATCAGGGACAATTGCAGTAGATCAATGTGAAAACACAGTGGTAAATTAAAGTACTGCATTGTTACTGATCCCATGGAAGCACGTGCACGTATTTTTCCCTTATTCAACAGACATGATATTCTTCCGACTAAAATCGGAATTCCGATTTTTGGGGGAATCACCCCCCCTTTCCCCCCCTTCTCCTCCTCCTTCCCCTCCCCTCTTCGACCTGCTGCCTTTGCTCCGGCAACGGCCTGAGGAGAGGCAGAGGCAGAAGTCTTCTGACGGGGCTCCTCCCGTGGAGGATTGGGGGCGGCGGTGGAGGCGGCTTGAATTACCCTGCCCCGCTGTCTTCTCCAGCTGGGAAGGAAGCCGTAAGGCCCCCTTTCCAAAGAAAGCGAGTCTAAAGCTGGCAGTTCACGGGGAGAACGCGAATTGGCGCCTTTCTTGCCGCTCCGAGCGGTTTAGCTAACCCCGCGTTGGCCGGCGGCTTCGGGGAATGAATGGAAGCCCCGTCCCCTGGGTAATTGGGAGCACCACCGCGTTCCCCTGCAATGACTGGAGAGGCCGCTCAGCGCGCCGGCGGAACATCCCCGCTCTGTTCGGTGGAGGAGATTCCCCGAGGAGACCAGAAGCACGAGGTCAAAGGACTTTATTGTGGGGAGGGGGGGACCCCGGGAAACACAGGCATTTGCGCTCTGTCCCTGCACCAAAAATGCCCTTGGGGAAACTACTTGTCCCGCCTAATAAAGTAATAATAATAATAATAATTTTAAAAAGCGTCCTGCGCACCCTTAGGCTCCCCACGATCTGCCTTCTGACCTCGCTACGGAGGCTGCCAAGCCGAAGGAGCGGGGGGGGGGGGAGCGGTGAGGTTTACTCTGCCTGGGGATCGGGGGGGGCAGTCCATTCCTGACTGGAAAAAGCTCGCCTGCAAGGTCATTTCTGACCGCAGCATACAAGAAGGGAGTAACTCAATGTGGAAGTGGCTTGGGACCAGGTTAGCTATTGCTGGTCACATCTACCTGACCCACCAGAGCTGGGAGGTAAGGAAACATCAGAAGAAGGGCTATCTCCGTGGTGGCTCCCTCTTTCTGGAACATCATACCCCCCACCCCCCAGATTAGACTGGCTGTCTGGGAGGCCCTGAAAACTTGGTTCTGCCAGCGGGCCTGGGGAACCCAGAGCGGGATGGAGGCCATTAATTGGTTAGTTTGAATGTGTGTTGTCGCTAGCGTTGGTGTTGTGTGTGCGATTTCTTGGCGCGTGGCGCGGGGTCTCTTGGCCGGCCTTGAAAGAGCGCGCACGGGGCGGGCGGTGGAGACGCAGGAGCGAATGCGGGAAGGAAGCGAACCTCGTTGCAAAGTTTTGCCTGATACTCTGCTAAAGCTTCAAGGGGGCGTTGCCAATTTAATTCCCACCAGGGCGCTGTGCGGACCGTGGCAGGTGCTTAGGCAACCCCTGCACCCCTGGCTACTTTTCAGATTTTTTTTTCAGAGGGGAATATCATGCCTGATTCAAATAGAAAATGACATGACTAGAACGCATCAATGCATATATCACATATGTTTAATGGTTTGCCTTACAGGAGGCCAAAAAGTGGCAGGAAAGAAAAGAAGCTTTGGAAGCAGTAGAAGTGTTGGTTAAAAATCCCAGATTGGAAGCTGGAGATTATGCAGACTTGGTGAAAGCTCTTAAGAAGGCAAGATTCTCTGTATTACCCAAATGGACCTCTCAAATCTAAATACAAGGTCACAGTATTAGTATAGTTATAAGGAGCTTTTAATCTTTTATTGGTAAATATAGAGTGTTTACTTATATTTGCTCATAGGTTTAAGTGGATGATGAGCAAGATCTTAATTGCATAGAAATAGAAATGAATATAATTGAACATGTTTTTGAACTCTTTAAGCAGATAGCAAGTCAGCTAGTGCTAATAAATGGCCCAGAATCTGGTTTCCAGCATATTATGTAGAATAAAATCCAAAATTTGTGCTCATGAAACACAATTTTCTCCTCTATTTGCACACCCCAGATTTACACACTCTACCAAATGCAGCATATTTTGTGAGTGTATAGCAAGGGTCATCAGACTTGACAGCTTTAAGACTTGTGGACTTCAACTCCCAGAATTCCTCCTCCAGTCATGTTAGCTCAGAAATTCTGGAAGTCCACATGTCTTAAAATGTGCCAAGTTTGAAGACCCTTGGTGTATAGGAAAGTGGCAGGGGAGAACAACCTCTCCCTCATTCTTTATGTTTGTGGGCTGTCAAACTGGAGAGTAACTCTTAAATAGTTTAATATGAATGTAGGTGAATGACGTGATAAATTATTTTTAATTTGTTCAGAATTCATTTTGAATTTTTACACCATTAGATTGTGATGCTCTTTCTTTACAGGTTGTTGGAAAGGATACTAATGTAATGTTGGTTGCTTTGGCTGCCAAATGCCTTGCTGGACTAGCCAGTGGTCTCAGGAAGAAATTTGGACAACATGCTGGTCATGTGAGTATAATACGCTCAGTGTTTGCTTTTGAATTCTCTGTGCGTAAAATTAATTGTGGAATGAGGAATAGACTAGAATTTGGCACCAGCCTGATACGGATTTCTCATGAATGCGTGTTAAATCTTCCTTTTATCATATTTCTAGCAAATTTTCTTGTGGGTTTTGTTTTATTAAAACAAAAGAATATCCAGGAAAATAGGAAAAAATGTTTCCAGAGGAGTAGTTTGAAATAAGTAACAGTTTTAAAAATCAGCAAACATTTTTCTTTTTAAAAAATGTTTTAGTTAGATCTGTGATGGCGAACCTATGGCACGCGTGTCACAGGTGGCACGCAGAGCCATTTGTGTGGGTACGTGAGCCCCAGGCAAACTTACCTCACTCCACATGCGCACGCCTCCCAGCTGATTTTTGGGCCTGCCAGAGGCTTGAGGGAAGCCTCTGGGTTTGCAGGCCGAAAAATAGGCCCATTTCATCACTTCCTGTATTTCAGGAAATACCAGAAGTGACGAAACGGGCCCATTTTTCGGCCTGCAGAGGCTTTTCTCAAGTCTCTGGCAGGCTGAAAAGGCCTCAAACGGGTCGAAAATCAGCTGGGAAGCACAGTGCAGGTAAGGGCGGTGGGGGGGGGATCACATGTGCATGCGCAGGGGGTGGGGCCACCCTCATGCATTGCCTTCTGGGTGCTGGTGTGTGAGTGTGAGCCCTCAATTTTTGTCACAGGTGTCCAAAAAGGTTATCCACCACTGAGCTAGATTGTAGTATCAGTGTTTCCTAATGTAATGAACTTTTAGTGTGATACGATTATTTTCTGTGCCCTTTGTATGGGACGGTAATGAAGATTTCCTTGTATTACCGTTGACACTGCAGTGGATGTGGCATTTGTAACATCTTGATAATATTCAATAGGTTGCCCCAACTATTCTGGAGAAGTTCAAAGAAAAAAAGCCTCAGGTCGTGCAAGCCTTGCAAGAAGCCATTGATGCTATCTTTCTTACTGTAAGTGAATTGATACCAATACTCTGAACAAGATTAATAGGCTCTTCTTGAATAGTCAAAGTGAATCTCTCATGTCCAAATACTTTAGACCACACTACAAAATCTCAGTGAAGATATCTTTGCTGTAATGGATAACAAAAACCCAACTATCAAGCAGCAGACATCTCTCTTCATTGCACGAAGCTTTCGTCAGTGCACTCCTACTACCCTTCCCAAAAGTCTCCTGAAACCATTCTGCGCTGCTCTCCTCAAGGTAAAAAAAAATAAAATATTCTGCAGAACTTGATTTGAAATAAAATAAGGAGATAATAAGTTTCTATTGCTGGAAGGTATCCTTTACTAATATGTAAGTTGGGAAGTTCAAAAATATTTACGCATGTAAATATTTTTTACATAGAACTTTTATCTAGGCAGGACTGAAGTGTTACGCAGAACAAAAGAAAAAGAATAGCAGCTGCCCACAGTTGCACGACTGGAAGATGGGTGGCAAATAAATTTAAATAAATACATATATAAATATCTTTTTCATATCCAAGAAAGGAGAAAACCATGTAACTGATTCATATTTTTGAATTCAGTTTCTTCATTGACCTCCACTTGCCCTCTCTGTGTTATCTTCAGCTGAAGCTCCTGGTTCAGCTAAAGTTAGCATAGAGAGGTTCCAGGCAAAGCTTTATGTAAAATACAAATCAATTCAAAGGAGAGAAACATCTTAGTAGCAGGGGTTGCAGTCCATCACCAAGCCGTGTGAGCAAGTCGAGGTGCACACGCATGCCCGTCCGTCTCCCCCCCCCCCCAAAAAAAATATATATGCTGCCAAGCCATAAAGGTGGGGATCACTGCTTTCTGGTTTCTGTGAATCAAAGCTCCATCAAGCAGAATACTCAGGTTTTGTTTTTTCGCCACAGCATATTAATGATTCGGCTCCCGAGGTTAGAGATGCTGCATTTGAAGCCTTGGGCACTGCCCTAAAAGTGGCAGGTGAGAAAGCTGTGAATCCTTTTCTAACAGATGTGGACAAACTGAAACTAGACCGGGTAAGTAACACTGAATCATCAGTCTATAGTAGGGTTCAAATATTATGTTATTTCAAGGAGCCCTGAGAATAAGTCAGGGGGTTAACTATTAATATTTTCAATAGGTGAATAGGTGAGGCTGTGACTTGCTTTCTTTGAACATGGTATGAGTTTTAGGTTCTATAAAATAGTGAAGTCATTTCTATCAGATAAATTGTGATCTTTTCATTATTTAAAGCTTATGTTGTGTAGGGCATATGAAACAATAGCAGAATTTCAGTCTCAGTGAGGGGCCATGGGCATATTTGAAACTTGTCTTTTAAAATAAATTTTTATTTTATTCAGAAAATTAAGGTAAAATACCCCCCTCAAAAAAGGAAAAAAAAAGAAATTTACAAAAATCAAATAAAGATTAGAAAAGAGGAAAAAAGTGCATTAAAAAAGACAAAGCGCGTGCGCGCGCACACACACACACACACACAATTTCCTGAGTTGAATACTCATAAATATACCAGAACAATATCAGTTCCCCCTGCCACTTGAGAAGCATGCCCAAAATTTATAAACTTCTATCTCTAATTGCATCCAGTTTGACCTGTCATCTATTATATATAAAGGCAAAGAGGCTAACGGTATATTTGCAACTTTTTATGTGCTGATTGTAAAATGGCCATTGAAAACTTAGAAGTATTCTCCTGTCCCCCTGTAAGATAGCTCTTTGCATAAATGCATATGCCTTTTAATCACTTTGACTTTGTTCTTTCTCCTAAGCACTTACATCCCTCCCCAGGTTGCTTGGTAATGAGCTCCTTCATCTCACAAGCTTACTCTTGCAGTTCTTTTTCTCTTTCCTGGTTGGCAGGCAGCTTAGGTTGCTCCCTTTGGTGGTTTTGTTCTTTTTCCTTTCCTCTGCAGAATGTGCTGGGCTCTCCTGGGGCCTGAGACATTCAGGCCATTGATAAGGGAAGAGGGCAGGCAATTGTTGCAGGTTAAAACTTTTCTACTTGTCCAGCCTTCAGAGTATAAAACGATTTAAATTTTGTGTAAATATAATAAAAGTCAGAATTGAAAAGAGCTTCTTTACATTGCAATTGTACTGCATCTATACCAGAAACAGAAAAATCCAAATAATTCAGGGACAATATAGTTCAAGAACTGTAATTTTTGTAGCAATAATTTATGACACTCGTCAAGAGCAACTGCTAGATAAAACATTTTAATCCTTTTATGTTAATCTCATTTTGCCTACTAGATTAAAGAGTGTGCTGAAAATATTGAGTTGGTTGGTGGAGGTAAAGTCAGTGGAGGAGCTGATAGAAAAGAAAACAAAGCTGTTCCTGGCAAGACTCCAGTTCTTTCTGGCGCTGCAGGAGACAAAGATACGAAAGATAACTCAGCTAAATCTGGGCCACCAAAAAAGGCTCCCACTACTAAGGTATGAAAACCACACACTCTGAAATGTGGCAGATCGAATTTGCATATATTTAAATGAATACAAACTAATTGCATTTTCAGAAGTGACAAAATAATGTATTGCATTTGTTTATGAGCTACATAGATGTTCTGAAAAAGTCCAGTTTTTAAGCAAACAGATGTAATGTCAGGATTGCTATGTTTAACTTTTGCATTCAGTATGTATATCTTTTCTTCCCATGAAACATTACACAATGAACATTGTGATTAACAGGCTCATGCACGCATGTACGTGAATAGAAAATTCGGTAAAGTAAAGTTTAATTAGATGGAAATGTTCCCAAAGAAAACAGCAAAATTCTGGAATAGTAGTTAATATTTTAAAAATAACAAACAGGTGAGACAGACAGTTTTCCTAAAGTAAGTTTCCCATTTTGGATACCACAACAAGTCCTTTTGCTTAGGTGACTAGTGGGGTATGTAGAAGGGTCTCTGCATTAAAAATTGTAGGAAGACTCCATTTTAGATGCTCTTGTTTAGTCATCTGTTAGTTTCACAAGTTTCTATTGAATGTTATTTGATTTTTTTTCTTTGCTGTTGCCATTGCTAGGATTCAAATCAATAATGATCTTTTCACCATGTTTTTGATTTGACTGAAATTTTCAAATACTTTTTGAAGACTGATTCAAAAACAATCCAGTTGAATAGTATGTTTTTTTCCAACACTTACTTTTTCTGTAATTAGTAAGTGTTGGAAAAAAACATTTCAGTTTTTTCTGTAATTAATATGTTTTTAGAAAGTTACAAGTCTAAGATAGCAAGTAATAAAATCCAACATTGTTCATTAGTGCCAAAGCTATAAAATGTGCTATTATCTACATTAAACCCATCTTTAGAAGACAGTGTTGTTGAGAATACCTAGATTCTATAATACCAACAGAAGGCTGTCATATAGTGACCTTCCACTTCCTATCCCTTGAAAAGATTCTCCTAAAAGTCAGGGTAAGTGACTATGACTTAAGAAGTCTGAGGAGGAAGGAAGAATTGTTGAACATATATATATATAAGCAGAGTCTCTTCCCCCACCCTCACCTCAATCTTTTTTCTGAATTCAGTTGTGATGTTTTATTCCCTTTTCATTTAATTATCCGTTTCCAACATCTGTTGAATATGTGCTTATTTCAAAAGTTTCCCCCCCTCTTTTTTGTGTACATAGGCTGGTGGTCCAGTGAAGAAAGGGAAGCCAACTTCAGCTGGAGGCGTAGGAACTACTGGAACAAAAGCCAAAAAAGGAACTGAAGTAAAAGAGATATTTGAGCCAGAACTCTCAGTAAGTGAATTCTGTGCAAATTGTATATTTCAAAAAACAATGATGATCTTACTCAAAATGCACTGCTCAAAAAAATAAAGGGAACACAAAAATAAGACATCCTAGATCTGAATGAATGAAATATTCGTATTAAATACTTTGTTCATTACATAGTTGAATGTGCTGACAACAAAATCACACAAAAATTATCAATGGAAATCAAATTTAGCAACCCATGGAGGTCTGGATTTGGAGTTACACTCAAAATTAAAGTGGAAAAAAACACTACAGGCTGATCCAACTTTGATGTAATGTCCTTAAAACAAGTCAAAATGAGGCTCAGTAGTGTGTGTGGCCTCCACGTGCTTGTATGACCTCCCTACAACTCCTGCCCATGCTCCTGATGAGGTGGCGGATGGTCTGAGGGATCTCCTCCCACACCTGGACTAAAGCATCCCCCAACTCCTGGACAGTCTGTGGTGCAACGTGGCGTTGGTGGAATGAACGAGACATGATGTCCCACATGTGCTCAATTGGATTCAGGTCTGGGGAATGGGTGGGCCAGTCCATAGCATCAATGCCTTCGTGTTGCAGGAACTGCTGACACACTCCAGCCACATAAGGTCTAGCATTATCGTGCATTAGGAGGAACCCAGGGCCAACCACACTAGCATATGGCCTCACAAGGGGGCTTAGGATCTCATCTCGGTACCTAATGGCAGTAAGGTACCTCTGGCGGGCACATGGAGGGCTGTGCGGCCCCCTAAAGAAATGCCACCCCACACCATTACTGACCCACTGCCAAACCGGTCATGCTGGAGGATGTTGCAGGAAGCAGAACGTTCTCCACAGTGTCTCCAGACCCTGTCACGTCTGTCACGTGCTCAGTATGAACCTGCTTCCATCTGTGAAGAGCACAGGGTGCCAGTGGAGAATTTGCCAATCTTGGTGTTCTCTGGCAAATGCCAAACGTCCTGCACGGTGTTGGGCTGTAAGCACAACCCCCACCTGTGGACGTTGGGCCCTCATACCACCCTCATGGAGTCTGTTTCTGTCCATTTGAGCAACCACATGCACATTTGTGGCCTGCTGGAGGTCATTTTGCAGGGCTCTGGCAGTGCTCCTCCTGTCCCTCCTTGCACAAAGGCGGAGGTAGCGGTCCTGATGCTGGGTTGTTGCCCTCCTACGGCCTCCTCCATGTCTCCTGATGTACTGGCCTGTCTCCTGGTAGCGCCTCCATGCTCTGGACACTACACTGACAGACACAGCAAACCTTCTTGCCACAGCTCGCGTTGATGTGCCATCCTGGATGAGCTGCACTCCCTGAGCCACTTGTGTGGGTTGTAGACTCCGTCTCATGCTACCACTAGAGTGAAAGCACCACCAGCATTCAAAAGTGACCAAACCATCAGCCAGAAAACAGGAATTGAGAAGTGGTCTGTGGTCACTACCTGCAGAACCACTCCTTTATTGGGAATGTCTTGCTAACTGCCTCTGCTTTCCACCTGTTGACTATTCCATTTGCACAACGGCATGTGAAATCGATTGTCAATCAGTGTTGCTACCTAAGTGGACAGTTTGATTTCACAGAAGTGTGACTGACTTGGAGTTACATTGTGTTGTTTAAGTGTTCCCTTTATTTTTTGAGCAGTGTAGTTGTGATTCAGTTACATGTGCATGAGTTTCAGTGTTTCATTTGGAACAGTTTTATTTCTCTAGTATTTTATGTTACATTAGATTTTGTTCACTCTATAAATCTTGTGAGTGTGCTGATAAACTTAGGGGGCATGTTTTCTTTCAGGAACTCAAAATGATTTATATTGACTTGATAGTAGGAATGTGAACAAACTGGAAAATGTTATGTTTTGAACCTTGAACAAAACACTGCACCCTGAGAGTTCTGCCATAATGTTTCAGACTGGTCATGGTTCAGCAGATACGAAACATGGAACATATTGTGAGTTTTGGATGAAGCAAAATCCAAGATTCTAAATGATTTTATCGGGGCCAATAAGGCTGGTATGCACTGCCTGTGCACTCCCTTCTCCCTATAGCTGTTTTCTAAGCAGCATATACCCACAGCCTATCCTGACCCAATTTTTTGAGCATCTTTTGAGCCATTATGACTACTGTCCTTGGCTTTTTCATGCTCTTTCCCACTTTCCATATCCTTTCAGCCTGAGGTAAGCACATTTCCCTCAGTGTGCAAAACAAAACAAAAAAATCCCACTTTGTCCATGAGTTTACTAGCGCACCCCGAAACACACATGCTTCAGTAACAGAATGGGCTGCAGCAAATTGGCTGATCTATGCACAGCATGGTTCATGACTAAATCATTTTGCACATCTCTTGTTGGCAGAGAATGACCGGCCCATTTGCCAGTTGTGGTTCAACTTCTCAAATATAGTATTTCTAAAACACGATTAGCATTTAGACATTTGCCTAATGTAAATGTCAAATTATTGGTCTTCTTTATATTTGTAATGGAGAAACTGGTACGTACTGTATAGCAATTCAACAGAATCCTTGAATCTCCGCTCAGGAGCATGCCAAGAGTGCTGTAGAATGAAGTCCATTTCTAAATAAAGTGGTGTGTGTACACATGCCCATTTGGTACGGCTGCCCCTTCACTCAAGAGGCTAATCGCATAAACAGGAAAAGATACCTTGGGTCTAAAAATTACTGTTAGGCACTACATGCACATGTCTATGTGCTCTGAAGTAACATGTTTCCTTTGAATCCAGGTTGCCGTGCTATAGCAAACCTGATATAAGTCAAAATGCCTAATAGCCCGATGAAGGCTAATTTGGAATGTACCAGTAGGCTATTAACAGGTGTGCAATATTTTTCTTTGCTAATAGATAGAGGTGTGTGAGGAGAAGGCTTCAGCTGTGCTTCCAGAAGTTTGCATACAGCAGTTAGATAGTGGCAATTGGAAGGAAAGGCTGGCTTGCATGGAAGAATTTCAAAAGGTAATAATGACAAGTTCTTCTAAAAGTGTCTCAACCCTATAAATATCTGTTTGTTCCATAGTAAATTATTTTGGCATTTCACAGAAGCCTTTAGTGTCAGGCTGTATTTTGTGACTTTTCAGATTATTCTGAGTACTGCAAGTTTGATAGACCAGATCTGGTTCTTCTTTAAAATACATTAAAGACTTAATTTTTGTAAAATCTGCACTGGTCAGTTTCACACAAGGAGGCATCCAACAATAGTTAACTCTTACTGTTAAAAAATAAGAACTGGTTCAAACATCCAATCACTTTTACATTTCTTGTCAGAAAATCAGAATAAAGTTTCCAAAAATGAAGCTTGATTGTAAATATTTGTAAAAAAAAAAAAAAAAAAAGAATAATTCGTATATAGTGTGGGTTAAATTTGTGTTTACAATATTTACAATCTTCAGACCCAAATCTAGATCATTTTTAATCTACTTTATCCAGCTTTGGGTTTGAAGACTGCAAAAACTGCAAGTAATTTCTTTACAAAATTTTCAAATGAAGGGACAAGAAATAATCTTATTAAGAACTATGGTTTTTATGCATGCTAAACATGAAATGTATCCAAATGAATATAGGTTTATAGAATGCAGTTTGGCAGTATTTATATTCCTGCCTTTCTTAGAGTTTAACACTGTTCTTAATCTTTAAGGCAGTTGAGCTGATGAATAAAACTGAAATGCCTTGCCAGGCTCTAGTAAGGATGTTGGCGAAGAAACCTGGATGGAAGGAGACTAACTTTCAGGTAGAACAATGTTAATGTTTAGTTCTATTATCATTGAATTAATAACTAATGAACTTTATTTAAAACGTTACCTTAGACTTGAACTTGGAATTCCTTATGGGTAGGCTTGACCATTTGTGTTTGAAAACTTTATGCAAGAAGCTTGATCTATATTTCTTATTTGCATCCAACAATAATATTGTTCATTCTATTATTTGATTTCTTCATTGATATGTGATACATTTCTGGTAGCATTACACAGTTCATTAAGGCTGAATTAAAATATGGGTATTTGGAACCCTGTTAAACAAGAATAATACAATTAAGATAAAGCATTCAAATATATACTTTAAGCAAGATGCTAAGAATTATGTCAATATTTATAGTATCTATATTTAGCCAGCCTGCATGTGAAAAACTTCTAAATTCTAATTAAATGGCATTTAGAACATTTTAGGCCCTAGGCTTTTGGGGATCCTCATTTCAATAATAGCTTGTGAGGCACAAGCAACCAGAACAACTCATGAGTTGGACCAAGTAGATAATTTTATTGTTGATCACCTGTATTACAAGAATCTCACCCGGCTGTCTGCCTTCCCTTGGGAAACAGCAGATATAGGCCTACGAGTTTGACCTCAGATGTTTCCTCCCCCAACCAACCCTAAGCTAGGATGTTTCTTTACTCCCCCTAGAAGGGCCTCCTTTCCTTCAGCCTGTGATTCCACGCAGCTATAAAGGTATTCTCTGAACTTGTATTTTTCAAGGGAAAAGTCACAATGTATGTATTTTAAATGTATGCGTAGTAAAGTAATAACGAATATATCTAATTCTAGGGCATACAGTTTTAAAAAACATTTTTGTTCCCGGAAGTTTTGTCTGCCCTAGACGCACGAGTCGTATTTGATGAAATGTAGGTCTCAAGTCTTACTGTACAGCTGATCATTGGCTTGAAAATAGCAATGGCTCCTCTTCTTGTTTGCAGGTGATGCAGATAAAACTTCATATCGTTGCTTTGGTTGCTCAAAAGGGGACCTTTTCCAAAACATCTGCACAAATTGTCCTGGATGGCCTTGTGGATAAGATTGGTGATGTGAAATGTGGGAGCAATGCCAAAGAAGCATTAACAGCAATAGCAGAAGCCTGTCAGCTGCCTTGGACTGCTGAGCAGGTGCATATATTGTTTTTCATAGATATAACATGCTGAAAGAAAACTTACTATCACAAGAACTATTGCTCATTTATACCAGTTGCAAATAGGCTGTTTTCATTCTAGGTTATGTCCATGGCGTTTTCCCAGAAGAATCCAAAAAACCAATCAGAAACTTTAAATTGGCTCTCAAATGCCATTAAAGAGTTTGGGTTTACTGGGTAAGTCTCAAAATTAGAGTAGCATGCTGCTTACATGTACATGCTGTTTACTAAATAACTGTGACATAAAAAGAGGTCAGCACACAGATAATGTAAGTAGAAACCATACTAATTCACATTATTAGTACATTTTTGAATGAGATGAATGTATTCATGTGTTTGTTACAGCAGTTATACACATGTGTGAACCAAGCTTGTTCTCACTATTGTACTAGTTTTGTACAATCTGGTACTCTTTTTTGCCTGCCATGTAGTTTCTTTTTTGTTTGTATACAATGTAGTTAGAATTTAGAAATCTATTGGTGTATTGTAGCCCCCAGACTCCATTGCCATGGCTTCTGGATTGCTGAAGTCTGACAACAAATTGCTAGATCCCAATAGAGATTTTAAAAAAGGAATATAAAATGCTTTTATTGTTTTGAATACACTTTGCATACCTTAAAAGTTCAAACCCGCTTCACAGAAATTCCCAACAGATTTTTAAAAAGAGGAATAAAATATTATTGTGTCCACTTGCATGATGTGAGACAAATTTCCTTCTTTTCCCATGATCCCTGGAAATACTAGAAAAACATGCAGAGCTGGATGCAAAGTATTCAGGTGTCATTTCTTTTAAAAATGCTTTTTCTGACATGTAAGATATATCATGTTCTTTTGAGAAACAGTTCCATCATAGCCAATACTATTGTCTCACATTTAAATTTCATAACCTTTTGACAAAGTGGTTGAGAAATGAGTAAGAGGTTGTCATATTTTTCACCGTTCTATATAATTTTATGCTACTTTTGGCTAATATTTATTGTCTTCTCCCTCAGATTGAATGTGAAGGCATTCATCAGCAATGTTAGAACAGCTCTTGGAGCTACAAATCCTGTAAGTATTTTTTTCTTCCTTCAACTTAAATTTCACTGTCTGAATATTGAGCTTAAATATTTCAATTTCCTGTTTAATAGGCTGTGAGGACATCCGCTATAACCTTACTAGGCGTCATGTTTCTGTATGTTGGTCCCCCTTTACGAATGTTCTTTGAGGATGAGAAACCTGCACTTCTTTCCCAAATAGATGCAGAATTTGAAAAAGTAAGTTTTCCTTGAAACGCTGAAACATTTATTGTTTGGATGATCATTTCGACCGATTCCAGTATATTTCTTACTATTGCTAATAATACAGTGAAGTAAATGAGCAATCTGCTAAGGCAGTCTTGGAAGATCGTATTGGCTGATGACTGACTGAAGATGAGTTCTAGTGTTTTGGATGGAAATGTTTATCAAACTTTTATTAATAGGAGTATTAATTCAAGACTACTGTACTGTAAAATTCACTTTTGATTGATGATGACAGTGTCATAGCCTATACAGGTAGTCTTTGAGTTACGACATTTCATTTAGCAACCATTCAAAGTTACAGCAGCACTGGAAAAAATGACTTATAATCTTATTTTACACACATAGGACCATTGCAGCATCCCCATGGTCACCTGATCAGAATTCAGATGCTTGGCAACTAGTTCAGACTTATAACCATTGTAGTGTCCTGGGATCATGTGATCAGCTTTTTTGACCTACTGACAAGCAAAGTCAATGGGGAAGCCAGATTTACTTAACAACCGTGTTACTAATTTAACAAACTTAACAAACAAACTTGATTCACTTAACAAACATGGCAAAAAAAAGTTGTAGAATGGGGCAAAACTCACTTAACAAATTTCTCACTTAGCAACCTAAATTTTGGGCTCAATTATGGTTGTAAATCGAGGACTACCTGTATCTTGTCTGATCCTTCCATTTTGAGCATTACTTGCATGATTTTTAATTAGCACCACACAACATTGTACAGTCATGTGAATTAACATGTCAAATACTCCCTATTAAAATAATGCAAAGTAATTTGGTAAGTATGCATTTCAGGTGCAAGGACAAACACCACCTGCTGCAACTCGAGGCAGTACAAGGCACAATATTGGCAGTGATGATGGAGAGGAAGGAGAAGAACAGGAGGATTCAGGGAATGATGTCATGGACCTCTTGCCTAGAGCTGACATCAGGTTTTTATACTTTTTTATTTGGTTTTATGCTGTTTTTTTATTGAAAACCAAAGCAGGAATTGATTGGTTGGTTGGTTGGTTTGTTGGTTGATTGATTGACTGATTGTGTGCTATCAAGTCATTATTGACTCCTAACGGCTACCTGGGTAGACCTTTTCCATGATAATTTGTCCCTAAGATGGTATTTTATAGGTCTTCCAACGGTGTGTTCATCACCAATGAGTCCATCCCATCTTGCTGCTTGGCTTCCTCTTTGCTTTCACCTTTCCTAGCCTTGAAGTCTTCTTCAAAGATCTAGGTCTTTACATTACATGTCTGAAGCAGGATTATTCGAGCCTTGGTGGTTGCTTCACCAAATGGTAATCAGGATATTAGTTGACTGCTTGTTCCTTTACTACCATTGCCAATTCTAAAGCTGGCTCTATCTATTCCCAGTTTGGTCTTTAAATTTTAGTTCCATTTTTCACTATGCTCTTTACTGTTATTACAAGAGCTTGCAGAACCTTTGCATTTTCAGTTACCAAGGTAGGGTCATCAACATAGCACACGTTGTTATTGTTGTTTCTTCCATTTAAAACCATGCTCATTTTCTTCCATTCAAGCTTTAATAATATATATTCAACATATGGGTTGAATAAATAAGTAGAGAAGACTCTTTTTCCAACTTGGAGTCAAATCTGTTTCACCTTTACCTATACGGTGGCTTCTCATGAGGATAATGATATGTTCTGGGAAACCCATTTTTCTGAGATATTCCACAATCAGTGAAGCACTTGCTCATTTCTTTTCCAGTATTTTTGGACTTTCTTAATTATCCAGAGTGTATCATCAATAATGGCATGTTCCTCAGTCCTTTCTAAAGCCAGCTTTAAACATCTGGGTGCTTCTTTTTTCATGGAGGCCTTATAATCTGTGTTGAGTGACCCGAAGTGTTATTTTGCATGTGAAATCAAGCATATTGTATGATAATTTGCTCATTCAATTAAATCTCATTTTTTGGTCATTGGAATGTGGCTTGATTTTTCAGTCTGTTGGCCAATGTACCATTGTCCAGATTTGCTTGAATAGTTTGGATAGAACCATTATTGATTCTTCTTCTGTTGCTTGCCATACTTCTGTGGATATTTCATCAGTTCCTATAATCTCCCAACTTGGAATTGAACAGAGTATTGATATTTTTGATGGTATCTTGGATTTGACATATTATTTCAGTTTCTTCCTTCCATCTTTCTTTGATTTCTTTTGAGTCAGTCTATCTACAGGTAGGCCTCAACTGACAACAGTTCATTTAGTGAGTGTTCAAAGTTAACGATGGCATTGAAAAAAGTGTCTTATCTCCCATTTTTCACACTTATGACCGTTGCAGCATCCGCATGGCCATGTAATTAAAATTCAGACGCTTGGCAATTGACTCATAGTTATGACAATTGCAGTATTCCGGGGTCATATTATCCCCTTTTGCGACCTTTTAACAAGCAGAGTCAATGGGGAAGCCAAATTCACTTAACAGTAGTTTGACTAATTTAACAACTGCAATGATTCCCTTAATTATGACAAGAAAGTTCGTAAAATGGGGCAAATTCACTTAATCAATGTTTCACTTAGCAACAGAAATGTTGGGCTCAATTGTGATTGTAAGTCGAGGACTACCTGTATTGGCATTGCTTAGCATATAAATTTAAGGTTCCTTAAGCCATACAATCCAGCGAAGCAGCTCAGGACTTGCGGGTGGGAGACAAAGCAGGAATACTAGATGGTAAAATAATGAAATATAATCTGAATATAAAATGATACAATATAAAATAATATTTAGTTTATTTAATAGATTTATATGCCCCCCCCCCCATTGCCCTTCCCATCATAAACATAAGTGTAGGCATCTTACAATATATATACTGTGTTTCTCATAAAGTAAGGCTGGGCCTTTTTTTTTTTTTTTTTTGAGCCCCGAAAAAACAGCTAGGCCGTCTTAATTTCCCCCCCCCTTGCGCACCCCCACCTAAAGCACCCCACGCACAGACTCACCTTGCCACCAGGCCGCTTCTATCGGCCAATAGAAGCGCCCCGAGGGCAGCCACGCCTCGCCACCAGCCGCTTCTATCGGCCAATAGAAGCACCCCGAGGGCAGAGTCACCTTCAATCGGCCATTAGGAGCGGCGTCGTGGTGAGGCGTGGCTGCCTGCGGGGTGCTCTAGCCAAGGTTGCCCGTGGGGTGCTCCTAACGGCAAGTTCCTTCCCCCACCACCACCTTCCCCTCCATTTCTCTTCACCTCGTGTTGTGATGTGAGAAATGGCGGGGAACGCATGCTTTAAATGGGCTCAATTTTTGGGGCGGGGTTTAATTTCACCACATGCCTATGAAACAGTGCTGGGCCTTCCTATTGTGGGGGGGCGTATTGTTTGAGAAACACAGTAAAAGAAAATACAATTAAAAGAACAATTATAGCTAAATCTTCTGAAATATAACATGCATTTAAAATTGTAGAACATCTTGAAATATCGTAAGACGATAACAGCAGAACACAAGGCAGAATAGCACAGATTTAACCAATAAATATATACTAATCTGGTATTAAAAGCTTATCAGTGTCAACTATAAGGAAACGGGGAGAAAACTTGTCAGCTGGAGGACTTGTATGAGAATTGCTCTTGCTGCCTAATAAATAACTGACAAACATGGAGCCCTGAGAGGGCATCACCACAGCACTTTAAAAGGCAGACAGCAACTTGTGCTTTATAGATTAGGTATGTTAAGGACAATTTCTCCATGTATAGGTATGCAAACTCTCTGTTCATCTGTAACATATTTTTATAATTTGCTTTTTCTGTCTTGACTATTACCGCTTAAGATGCTTATAGTTTGCTCCTTCTTGTTTAAAGAAAATTGATGATGAGCTGTTGGCTTTTTTCGTTTTATTTTGTTTTGTCTTTCTTTACAGTGATAAGATCACATCTGAGCTGATATCTAAGATTGGTGATAAAAACTGGAAAATCCGAAAAGAGGGTCTGGATGAAGTAACCAACATCATCAATGAAGCCAAATTCATACAGCCAAATATAGGCGAACTTGCACCTGCCTTGAAGAGTCGTCTCAATGATTCCAATAAAATCCTGGTATGCTTAAAATGAGTAACAAATTTGTTACAGTCATCTTCCATCCTTTATATGCCAGCTTAATTTAGATCTTATAAACAGAAATGAAACGAAAATGTCACTAAGCATTACTGCCATTTAATTTATTTTATGTAATAAAATATTTTTACAATTGCTAGCTTGTCTGTTGATGCATCTCATTCTTGTGGGGAAAATGGTCCTGCTGTATTCAATGAACATCAGAGAGGTTACTGTAAAGGAAATGCACTCTCCTATAATATGCAGAAGAACACAGTTGTGCTTTGTTTAATCTATTTGTAGCACATATACCAAAGCACAGCTGGGGAGATTGTGTAACTTCCTCTTAATGATGTTTTTGTTTTTCATGAAAGGCTAGCATAGAGAATCAAAATCTTGTGATTGAAATCAAATTGGAATTAGATTACAGCAGGCAAAGAGGCCAGAAGGATACTGCAGTTTTTCTTTATAAGGGAGTTTATGTCCTTGATTGGGAATTTTGGAGGTATTTTAAAAGAAATACATAACCTTATGTGGAATACTGCCCCAGTATTTTTTCCTTACAGGTAGTCCTTGATTTACAATCATTCAATTCAGCAATTGTTCAAAATTATGACAGTGCTGAACAAAGGGACTTATGACCTGTACTTGAAATTACAGTTGCTATAGCACTCTGCGGTCACATAATCAGAATTCAGTTGTTTGGCAAAACTCTTGCCCTTACAACTGACCACGGGGACACTACAACTATCCCTACCTTCCTATCTTTCTCCATTTTGCCCTGCTGGATCTACTTCCAACCAGACTGGGTTCACACAAGCTTTGGCCTGCTTCCTACCCATATACTGAGTCCCATATACCCTTGAACCTCCCCCACCCTGTCATGCCTTGTTCCACTTATCTCTTCCAAAGAGCACCTTTCCAAGAGTGCCCAGGTGACATTATGCATGGCCTTCCTACTGGGGCCACCTTGGGCCACTCTGGAGGCAGTCACCATTTGCAATCTCAAATAAAATGGGAAGCTGTGCAAGGGATGCCTCTGGATAGAGAGGCCCTGGGAGACCCACTCACTGAGGCACACCAGACTCTGCTTAACAACCAAACAGTCACCTAACAACTGCAAGAGGAAAACCTGTAATTGTGGTTATTAAGCAAGACAATCATGTAGGTATCTTGCTTAATGATTGCAATGACCTAGGGCCATAATTCTTGGCTTGATTGTGGTCCTAAGTCAAGGACTACCTATACTTACTAAAGAAATCTTGATATGCTAACAACAGAGGAAGCCAGAGATTGCAAAAAGTTTTGCTCACCTGTTTTGAACAACTGTTGAATGTAGCATCTACCTATGTGAATTTACCACATTTTCTCCAAGTTCTATAGTTCGAAGTGGTTGTGGCAGCTTATTACATTTGATTAGGTTAAGGTAGAATTATCTCTGTTTAAGATCTCGTTCTTCAAGCTACAAAAAACCTTCAAATCCTGTGAAATGATACTGTTGTTTTGTTTTTTAACAAATTGAAAGCTCTTAAGACAGGCACATTCACACTCTTTTGCCTTCCACTCAGGTACAACAAACACTGACCATCCTTCAGCAACTGGCCACTGCTATGGGCCCAAATATAAAGCAACATGTGAAAAATTTGGGAATTCCTATCATCACAATTCTTGGAGACAGTAAGGTAAGATTGGTGTATTATTCTGATGGTACTCTTTGAGATTATATTATCCACAATATACATTCCAAGCTCTGCATATGACAGTTTTAGTTTCTCATTGAGAAAGTTGAATTTGAAGAAAACCGGACACCGGATGGACATCTGACAGAAATGTGCTGTCTATGTACTCTCTTGGAAATCTTGAATTTAAGGGCTTGACTTTAGAAATTCCTTCCCAATTCCTTTATTCTGAATGTTTTATCATCTAATATTAGTACACTTT